AAAAAAAAAAAAAAAAAAACGCGAATGAAGGTCAATTGCAATTGGAAATTCAATTACAATTTCAGCTATGGAGAATCCAATTGTTTAAAAAAACATTACTTCCATTCCCACACACACACACACAGAAAAATATCACCTCACCTCTCCTTTCCAAAAAAACAATTACCATTGCCCAAGAAATTAAATGTTCCTGCTGTCCCAGATCTTGTTACGTATTCCTCCAAACCAGTGTTATTGTCGTTGTTTTTAGCTTTTATACCTGTCTTTCCTTTTCTTTTTTTTTTCTTTTGAAAGAAAAGCTAAATATGAAACTCCATCGATTCATTTTTGTTTTCGCTCTCTGCTCAGCACTCCGCTGTTGATCAGGTTCCTACTCGCTACCTCCTTTCATACGAAATGACTGCAAACAATGCAAAAGCACCCGAGAAAACTAAGTCCAATCCCCAATGATTTTCTTTTTCACTTCGAATACCTTATTAACTTAATGAGATAAAATATCTCTCCTTAAAAGAAACGCTAATGACACTCATCATACTTTTGCAGAAGAACAAAAAGAAGAAAAAAAGAAAGAAGAAAAAAAGAAGCCGTTCAATTACAAAAGTGGTGCATATTTTCAGTTGAAAAGAGTATACTTCTTTTCTTTTCATTTTGGTTTTTTTTTTATTTTTTTTCTTTTTCGTTGTTCTTTTAGTTTTATTTTCTGAGTCAGCTTCGCCGACGTGGAGTACGCACCGTAGTTTATATTCTTTCGTTTTGGTAGACATAAGTATGCGCCACATATATAATAATCAGCGAAAAAACGCTGAGTTAAGAGTCTCTCTTCCTCTTTTCAAATATCAATGCCCTTCAAATAATCAGGTAGCAAGTGTAAACAGGAAGAATGAGCCACATATAAACAGCAGAAAATTATTCCTGTATTGCAAATAAGACTGCTGTAGGAAAAGAAAGTAGTCGCTCTACCTACCAGCACATGGCAGGAAAAAAAAAAAAGAAAAAGAAAGAAAAATATCAGTGGAAGTTAATTTCCCTCGTAAACGGCAAATTTCATTTGCAGCGTTTTTTTTTTTTTTTTTTCACCTTCATTTCCTTTTATGCAGGTCAAGGCTCTTCCTCAGTTCATATTTTTTGTTGCCATTTCATTTTTCTCTAAGAAAAGAGAGAAAAACAAAAATGGTATTCATTTAACTTTGTCCTTTTCTGCCGTTGGATTGACCGGTGGTAATTGGGGTGCTTCTTTAGAAGTCTTTGATGCTTCTCTGCAACGAGCCCCAATTGAAACAAGTGTGGATTCTGTAATGGGTTTTGCTCCGCTACCTAGATCAAAAGCATCAAAAACAGTGGAAACTACGTGGGATGAATTATGCGTTTCGCTCCCGATAAATTCAATGGCATCTGCTACAGTAACACTTTCGTTTGCTGTTTTTCCCTTGCGAATACGCTCAAACATCATCTTTACATTCGCTTCAGTAAGATATGCACCCAAAGATATTTGAATATCTTGAGTTGCAATATCTTTGTCACTGTTCTTTGTTTTGGCATTCAAATCCTCAAGCTTCTCTACTATAGTATCTGCGTTTTCTTTATCATCAACCATAGCAGGAGCGGTTCCAATAGTCTCACAGAGCGCCTCAAGGTTTCCACGTATACCTTCAGGGAGGTATTGAATACCTAGTAACTGACGACGTTGCTCCACAGGCAAACGCTTCATAGATTCTTTTAAACTGTATCTTGTAGGTTTGATCCAAAATAATGTGTTATATGGCACATCAGGATCACGTCCAAGTGATATCCACCATTCCAGTTGAATACGAAGAGCTTCAGGATCTTCAGTCCATCGCATACCTCGTACCAAGTTGGCTTTTATCAATTCTTCATCAGTCAAATCATCAAGACCTTCAAGTCTCAATAATCGATCATCCTCACGAGTATTATGATAGTGACGAATAACCTTTCGGCGCATATAGGGAGCCATTATTTTATTTGGGAAAAAACTGTGATAAGTCTTGTATACACCGACTACCCTCGCCAATCCTACTGTAATATTATCAGGCGTATTGTAAACATTAAAAGGTCCATCACGACCAAAATGAGGTGCTATTAACCTTATTTCTGCTGCATTTACAGCTTCCCCCATAGCAGAGGAGCGTACCACCTCTTGTTGCTCTTTGGTGAAACTAACGAACGCAACAGTTGACATATATTCCATTACACGTCGTCTTGCACGTAACGTTCCTACTGCTGTAGAAAACGCTCGATTACGACCTTGACTTTCGGTCTCAAATGTTGAAGGAATAAGATCAGGAAACATCTTTAACGCGACAGGAAGTAAAAGTTCTGCAAATGGGACAACGATAAAGAAACTAAAGGGGACAAGTCGAAGAAGATCCTTTGTAGCGCTCTCCAAAAGAAGCCGTTCACGGCGAGTAAGGGCAACCCCTGCTTTAAGTTGTCGAGAATATTTCCACGCCAAGCGTGTATTAAGAAAAAACAATTGAAATCCGTGATAAACGTGACGAAGCCCTTCCCATGCAGCATTGGCGTAATATGAAACTTTTGAACGTCCAGTTGTCTTTGAAGGGGTCAAATTACAAAAGTGAACCCTGGATACCCTAAGCATTCCCTATATCTCCCCCTTCTTTTGTTCCTTACCCGTGGCTTTCTTATTTTTGATAATCAAAGTACAGTGCTTCTTTTTTTTTTTCTCTTTTTCTTATATTTCTACTTAAATTCTCCAGTAATTTTAACCAAACCGTGATCCTATTTTTTTTTTTTTGCCCAAATTCCAGCAAAAGTGTTTTGATTTTAAGAGAGACAAATACCTCACCTTATAGGTTGTCATCATTATCATCACGAATGTTTTTTTTGTTTTTGTTTTTGAAGAAAGAGAGAAAGTGAAAAGCAAATCTATTTTTAAAAGTGACATATTAAAATTAGGAAGCATTTCAAAAAGGATAGAATTACCAAAGAAAAAAAAAATGTACCCAAAACCACAGAAATACACAGTAGCAACACACATACCTCTCAGGAACAAACTTCAAAATTTGAAACACAAAAACGTGAAAAAATGTGAGCAGCCCAAAGGTCCAATGCGCAATTTCTTTTTTTCCTTCTTTTTTCCTCTCTTTCTTTTTTTTCTTTCTTTCCTAATTATTCTTTTTTTCCTCTGTGTTTTCCTGAGATTCTTTTTCTTTTTCTTTCTCTTCTTCATGTTTTAAACCAAATAAAACCTGTATGGCACTCCATAGGAGAGTTGTTAATGAAAGCTCTTCAAGAGACTCATGCAAAGATTTATTATCATCTTTCTTTTTCTCCGTTGATTTAGAAGAAGATTGAATGACTTCCGAGGAAGTGTACTTCATTGCAGCGTTGAAATCGCCTTTTATTATCGTTGCCAGCACAAAGGTAACGAGTAACCAAGGAACAATAAAAAGTAATGCAGGTTGTCCATGTTCGAATATAATCATGACAGCCATAGTATTTACCAGACTCAACGTGTAAGCAATAAGAGAGACGTAGAAGTAAAAATTCCCCTTTTTTACATATTCAGTAGAGAAGACAAGCACTTGGGCAATAAAGAAACCTGGGATTATTAAATCACCCAGTCCCAAAAGACTTTTCGCTTCTTGATTTTCAAACACTGTACGAGGGAAAACAAGTTTGATTGGGCCGTTGATACCACTTGCAACCGTGATCATCACATCAGATCCGAACACCCAGAATATATCGTAGAAAAACAGACCTAGAAGCATTACAAAAGAAGTTGAAAATGATCCAATCTGAACCATTTCGATGCTTAAAACACCGATTGAAATCGCCAGTATATTGTTTGCCACCCAGTTATTTGTCCAATAGTAGTATCCACCTACTATACAACAAGCAATACCAGTTAAAATATTTGGACGCATGAATCCTTTAATAAATGAGCCCATGGAAAATATACCGACTAAGCTCAAATACAAGCTTATAATTGCATTAAAGTATTCTAATGGAATAAATTTTAAAATTACATAAAGAGTAAAGAGAACCATTGATCCCATTAGAGGAAGAGCCATCGCATCTGAAGTACTCATCACATCATCAGGTCTGGTACCTGAATTCTTCATTTTAATAGTTTGCTGTAATAGTCGCTTCGATCCAAGATAAACAACCAACACAGCATTTGAAAGAAGAAACAAAAGAGCCAAGTATAATTGACCATCCTCATATGGAGTACTCATCTTCTTCCTTTACCTAATTTTCTGCTCTATTTTTTTTTTTTTTTTGTATATAACTAAATCTCGCAACTACAGTGATCTTGGTATTTAAATAAATTACAAAGAAAGAGAACAATAAATAAAAGAAAAAAAACAGTGATAGACAGCAAGTTATAAATTGCAGTAAACAGTAAAAAAAGAAAAAAAAAATCACACAAAAGATTTAAAAAAAAAAAAAAACATAGTAACGGCACTTTACGCAAACCCAATCAACTCCTTTTACTGAGGAGAAAATTAAAGATATTGCATTTAAGATAAGCGAGGCTTTTTACGTGGAATAATGCGCCCATATTTTTCTAGTTGCTCCTTTACTAATGCAGCGTGTCTAATAGCGCCACGATGTCGTTTCGACAATATATGGGCATCCATTTGAACTCCTCCACTAACAAACATTCCACACATTTCACACCATTCCTGTTTAACCGCTGTTATTTTGTCTCTGGGTTCTTTTAATGGAAATATTATGTTTTCAATACTTCCATTCTCAGACATAATCCAAAAACGCGTCACTTTTTTAACTTTTTCACGAAATTCCAGAACTGTGTCTGATACGTCCAGAGAAATAAATTTATCAATACCCTGAGCAGAAATAAAAACTTCTCGAAAACGTCCAAGAAAACGATTTGTTATCCACTGAATCTGTTGACGAGCGTAACGTTTCGTATTAATTTTTATTTGTTCAATTGATTTTTTTAATTCATTCTCTCCTTTTATACATGTTACACCATTTTTCTCTTCAAAGGCAGGAATAAACTCTTTAAAACCAATAGCCCTAGCCAAACCAGTATCAGGATCAGCTTTTACGTGTTGTTGAGCAAATTCAAGACACTCCTCAACAATGCCTTTTTCAACCATCTTATCAACCCTTTCATCCAGCATTAATTTTAACTTTTCAAAATTCACACGCGGCCATAAAACAAAACAATTCATCGGAGAAAACCGAAAACAAGGACTAGGACGAGACCCATATATTTCTGAAGGTAATCGCCCCGTTTTTTTATAAATTTCAAGAAGGCGAACAATACGTCTTTTATCGTTAGGGTGGTACCGAATAGCTACAGATGGATCTATTTTGTTGAGTTCTTTCCACAAATCATACCCCTCAAATTTTTCTTCACAAATAGAAGAGTTTGCATTTGAATCCAAAGCTACGGAGTCATCAGCATCTTCTTCAGTCAAAACGTTCTCAAACATAAGGGCTTGTATGTAATAACATGTTCCACCACAAACAATAACAGCCGCAGACGAATTATTCTGAAAAAATTTATTAATAAACTCTACAACATCATGTACATATGAATGAATATTATATATTTCCTCTTCTTTTGATTCCTCTAAAACCTCAGAGTTTTTTTTATCGCATCCTTCATATGGAATGGTAGGATCTCGAATCTTTACCCCTTTGGGAGAAAGGAACCCCATAAAATAATGAGAAATACCCTGCATTTCATTTAAGGAAACTTTATTTGTTGCAATAGGAAGATCCATGTAAAACTGCATCACATCACAGTTAATAATTACCACATGCTCATACCCGCAAGAACTCTTAAGCGTCGTTGCAATATCTACCGCAGCTAGAGACTTCCCGCTTCCAGTAGCGCCCAAGACGAAAAAAATAGGTTGTTTACAACTTGTCACCTCATTAACCATTTAGTTGAGAAACCAAAGGTAATTTTTTTTTTTTTCTTCTTTTAAGGTATCAAATAAGAAACAAAAATAACACCAAGAAAGAAAATAAAAAGATGAAAGAAGAACAAAAACTCTACCCATATTCAAAACTGACTCAACAGATCACCTTTAAATTGCATTCATTTCGCCAGTTTCAACAAAAACCTCAACAATTCATCAACACATACACAGTGTCACCAGATGCAGAGAAAGAAAGTGGCACAAATTAAAAAGAAAATTAACTGCGAGGACAAAGTCAAATTCATAAAGGAAAAACTAATTAAGATACAAAATAACGAGAGCTCAAAAAAGAAAAAGATACTCTTGTTTTTTGTTTTTCTTTTTTTTTTTTTTGATTTTCCTGGAGCCATCACTCTTCAAGAGAAGAGCCCATTTTAAAACTCAGAAGAAGCCAAGTCACAAAGAACTCTTTTTTCTCAACATCACGGGCGGTAGAAAAAAACCAACACACCAGTTTCAGAATGAGAAACCCCCGGAAACAAACGAAACCACAGCAAAAAAAAAAAAGCGACAACAACAAAAGTCTGGTACACCGCCCGTTTTGGAATAAAGTACCACTTCCATTAACTCAAAAGGTCCTCGAACAACACAGCCCTTTACGAGAACCAGCTTTTCCACCTCCCTCGGCCCCGCTTCCGCCCCAGCGCGGCGTTTCCACTTCACCGCCCCGCCCCCTCGCGGCAGGCGCAGCCAGAGGGCCCTCGCCAAACCGCGCGTTGGGCTGGACGAACGCCGCCTGCGAATGATGGCGGGTTTCCCCTCGGCGGGGCCCGAGGGGTCTTCGGGAAAGGGCTCGGGAGCAGCGGGAGGCAGCGCCCCCGGAAGGACCCAACCCCCTCAAAAAAAAAAAAAGAACCCACAAACCCAATTCCCAAAGCTTTGGCCGACGCTGGGCATGGCGCCGCCCATTACCCCCCACAAATGGAATTTTTCGGGGGTCCGGGCGCCTGGCTGGGGCGTGGGCGTGCGGGGTCCGAACGTCGTGCCCCGACCCCGCCGCCAATTTTCAAGACGCGGCGGCCCGTTCTTTAAACGGACCGTGCCGCATGGTTTTCGGTTCCCACCTGGGTCTTACACGGCCCACGCGGGAGAGGGCCCTCCAAAAAGCCCACGGGTGACGCTTTTGAAGGTTGCTTGGTGCCACCAAAAAAATGGGCGGCCATTCCGATGTCGCACGCGGCAAACCCCCGCGCCCATTCCATTACTCTAGTCTCCCAAAGCGTTCGGCAAAGTTGATTTATTATTTTTTTGGAATTTTAATTTGTCAGCCTTACGTTGTGGCAAAGGAATTTGGGAGAAATAAAGAACCCATTCCGCTGCCAAACGAAAATCGACAATAGACGCGTCGAAAATTATGATGGGAAGACGCCTTCGGCAGATGGCCATGCCGTCCAATAATTCACGACGCGTTCTTTAGAGAGTGTCGCCTCTTTTCTTTGGGCTTCGTTGTATGCCTATGAATTGTATCCGTTCTGTAGCGTTTGCAAAGTGTAACCCATTCAGGGTGCACAGAAGCAGAATGGCATTCCCACGAAAATTAAGTGGGATATTAGGGCTCCATGGCAAGAGAAGCGCGCCGATACTAGAGCCTCTAAAAGAAACTCCATCCATGCAGAGCGGCTCGTTCAAATGCACATCCCAGCGGCCCGGATGAGGAGTAGGGAAAGGGACGCCGATAATATTTCAACCTTCAATGCGGATTCCAAGTGTATTCTTCCTTTCGCCAGCCCAATATTACCCAGAATTGACGGCCCGATCTTCATTGCAAACCCTTCTCGTGCAACAAGGTGCGCCAAGACAATGCGATTGGAGCGAAAAAACCTATGGAGTTACAACCCATAAGAATACAAAAGGAAGCTTCAGCGGTAGGGAGATATCTTGGTTTCGCCCGATGGACGAAAGAGAATATAATCATCATACAATTTATAACTAGGGGTAACGCGTTTTTCCGGTGCTGGTCCACCTAAATTGCATTTAGGGATAGCGCTACCGACGGAAAGATGAAAACCGGTGCACCTAAACCGAAAAGAATAGCGATGCCCCAAGGAAGGACTCGCCTTTCTTTACGGCTACGAAAGCCTCGGGCCGTTGTCTAACGACAACCCTATGGGTGCAATGCTGTTTCTTCTCGGATTCCCCTAGAAATACGGAACAGCAGACTCTGAAGCAAACAAGGGTGCGGCTTTTGCGGCTGGAACCTCCTGGGGGATCCACAATAAGCCCACGTCCGTTTGGAGAAACGGTAAAAAACGAATCGCCCACGCCTTGGCAAATAAATAAAAAATAAAAAAAAAAAAACATTGCCAAAAAAAAAACTGGAAGTTGAATCGAGTTGGCAAAATGGCCGTGGTGCCTGCATTAAAATTCAAAAAAAAAGTTACCAACCCCTACCCCAGTGACCATGAAGAAATAAAATGGGCAATAAAATACTGATGGGAAATAGCAAGAGAGGATTTATCCAAAAACTTTTTTAATTATTACTGAAAAATGAGTAAAAAAAAACCACTAGAAGAAAAAAAACGGAATATTAAATAGAAGCTCAAATAGAAAAAAGTTTATTTCTTACGCTAATTAGAAGAGAAGGACAAAGGCTAAAACTCATCTATGCCTTTAAAAGAGTAGTTTGGGTTTCCTTCGATCAAAACAAAATAAAGTTGTTTCTTACCCTTAAGATAGTTTAGTTGGAGAAATGTCATATTATACGCGGTTCAGCAGTCCCGTTTTTAATCCTCAATTGACAGTAAAGACTCCATCCATTGCATCTACAGAAGTGGTAAAAAAGTAAATTGAGATACTCAGAGTAATCCCTGCAGCACACCACGGGTGGTTAAAGTTCCCCCCCCAAAGAATGTCATAAGAACTGGCACTCAATATTTACTGGCATTTGTCTTTGGATAGAGCTGAGATTTTTAACGGAGTGGTTTCTGTCCACGAACCGCTGCCATTTCCAGTTCCCTGTCCCACACAACATTTCGGGGACAGGATTCTATGTCAAAGGGACCCCTGACAACGTAGCGGACCATCCCTTTCGCGGTAACGAAGTCCTTCTTCCTTTTCCAAGCGAAAACAGAAACCCCGTGAAACCAAAAACAAGGAAGACCAAAAACAAAAGAACCTTTTACCGAGGGAAAAAAAACCCTGGCCTTCCCAGGGACCGAATTCGGGCAGCCCGACGGCACAAATTTTAACCGACAACTCTCGGGAAACGGCGGAGCAACCGAAGCCTCCCTTTTCATACCGAAGAAAAGAGGGTCTTCGCCACCCCAAACCTACGCTAAAAAACAAAAAAATTGGCGGCACATAGGGGGCGAAAGGAGCTGCACTTCTCAACGTCTTGCTGCGCATTTTGCCGCTGACGAGGTGTGCTGCCGATGCTCCCGCTCGCTTTGCGCTAAACCGGGGCTTGGGAATGAAAAATGCCTCGCCCGCGGCCCAACCCACACACCCCAGTTTAACGCCACCCGCAAAGCAATGGAACCATAGACGTGCGGTGTGTTTCTTCCTTCAGCCTTCCGGAGGCGGCATTGGACATTGGATTTGTAAGTGGTGCAAAAGTAAGAAAAAGCCAGAATGCATTTTCAAATGAAGATTCCACAGCTTTGAGGTTTGGCGCGGCATGGTAAGAGAAGAAGCGTGGAACACTGAAGTTTAAAGCCCAAGACTATTTTCTCGGAAGATACTTTGGCGACCCGTCACTCAATTTTAACTGAACTTCTTCCTCAAAGGACCTCCTTTCAGATCTGGTTTTAGAACCGCGCTTTTCGGCACCAAAACCAAGAAGTTTGCAGGACCCCAAGGAGCACAACGGTCACCACCGTTGCGGGGGAACCTTTGCCAAATGTTACTTTGGCAGCACCAGTTGGAACAGAAAAGGAGCAGTCGGCAGATAAAGACTGACCGCTTTCCATTGGGGATTCCTTCAAACTAAAAAAAAACTCTTGGTTTGGATGATGAAAAAGAACTTGGGCGAGTAATGGCGGAAATGTCATCTGGCAACATTTTCCCAACGCCTTTCCACCCCGAAGGGTCTTATACACCAGCCCTCCTCGGGAATGATCGTGATAAAGAAGATTTTTTTTTCGTTAATCGTGGTGTCATTTTCCCTGCTTTTGTTGTCGCCCTTAAAATCGTCGATGATCTAACGGAATACTCATGGGCATTGGCGTCTGGAAATTCTTTTTCTTTTTTTGCATTGCACATTGCTGTCTCAAAATAATGAAGGCCTAAGAAAGGCCTCTGTAGAACACCAGCCGCATTGATACAGGGACCAACTTCGCGGTAGAAAGAACGCCAGTGGCAATAAACGATGCCAGGGTTGAGGTAATTGGCGCCTTTGGTCCTGCAAAGGGATTGCTTTTTTGAAACCTTTTTTTTACAAAAAAAACACCTTTCATTCCCCATTAAAAAAAAAAAAAATAGTTATTAATTCTCTCTTGGATGATGCGTGTGAAGGCGATATCATCTAACCGAAGGACTTGGAATATCTTAATGCTTAAACCAGCGCCCAAGCGCAGCAACGGCCGCACCCCAAAGAAGAAATAAAAAACACACCAAAAGCAACGGATGGGAACTATAGTTTAGAAAGTGCTCTGGCCGTACGGGCGAAGAAATTGCCTTGGCGGCCCCGGGGGCTGCGGCCAGCGTTCTTGAAACGGCTGTCTTCTTGTTACCCTTGGGGTTTCAAACGGGGATAATTCAAGTTTAATCCATTTCATACCTGAAACGGTAGGGGGCTCCAGATCTGAAGCGGCGGCCAACGTAAAAACTTATGCGTTGCTGCAAAAATGCATTAAGGAGTATAATCTTTGCCGCATATTTTTGCCGTTTGCTTTTTGGGAACGGGGTTTTAGGTGAACATGAAAAGAAGATTATCCGCCAACAATTATGGGAACAATTGTGTCAAATCCAAAATTAAAGATTAATTGAACCTTGCGTTAACCAATTCTATAAGTTATTTTTCCTTTTGACGATTTTAACCTATGAACCACGGCCGTGGTAGCGGAACGTTCTGTGTTGCACTATTTTTTCGTTTCCTGACGTGTGCATTGGCTATGCCCATGTTTCTGAGAGCACACTGGGGTCCACCTATCCTTTCCATAGGGATGGGGTATGGCTACATTTGTTTACATATTTGTCCCCCCTACCGAAGAATTGCAATAAAAGACCAACATATTTGTCATGAAATTTGGCATCAGTTTATCTCTAATACCAGGAAATAATGCACTAAAAGAAGCACTTCCTTCCTCTTTTACCTATCACCGGCTGGTTCTTATAAAACATAAACTTTACCGCTAGAAACGTAGAAGGCGTTAAATTTCCTAGACTACCTTGGCAACGCGTTGTGACCGCTCTATTCTTGGAAATCGTGCTCCCTGATGCGGTCTTTTCAGATGTAGGTAAAAATGCAATTAAGGATTTGTACGATTTAGGGGTCTTCCGCACGCGCGCGTTCGTTCATCAACACCGCTTTTCCTAGATATTGAAGGAAGCCCTTCGTAGTATAATTGGCTAAAGATCCGATACCCCACCCTCAAGAACTCCAGCCGGAGTTCTCAAAAGAACGCATAAGAGGCACCACACCTAAAGGATGCGGCACGCAGAAGCATGGCAGAGCGATTGGTCAATTATCCTTTTCACCAACCACGATATCGCTCAGGCGTACTTCGAAGAAGTTATGCCCTTGTTCGAGAGTAGTGCCCCCACTCGCCGCTATTGGCAGGCGGGAATTCTTTCTATATATGACCAATGCTGTGCTTATTATTGGACGTTCCCACCATGATGACATTCAGAACCCACACGATCCTTTCAATCCAAAGAGAACCCTTCCCGTACAAAAGCGACGACCATAATTTGCCCCACATCTTCCTGAATCAAAACCATTTCGACCACAAGAGTTTCGCACACCCCATGTTCCAGTTTCGTTTGCGGGGCATAGTTGCCCGGAGCATTCTGCGCCTGAGAGTTTTTTTTTCGCTGTTGTTGTTAAAGGGGGTTCGCCGTCGTTTATTTTTTTTTTTTTGTTCATCGTCTCTTTATAGGTTTTACCCCAAAAGCGCAAGCCATCAACAGCAAAAGATATATATAATGATATATATATATATATATATATATATAATATTTTTTTTTGTATTTTTTTTTATTGTATTTTATTACCGTTGCGTTGAGCAACTACGCGTTGGCGATGAAATTATAATGGATCTCGTAGGTGGCAGAACATGGATTTTTTGGCCCCTCTGAGCCACCTCAGCGGCCAAATCTAATTTCCACCACTGGAGGGCATAATTGTTACTATCTCTAGGGCCCGTGCCTCTCCCTGGCAGCATTCACACTAAAGTGCAATCTGTAAAAGAAACTGCTGCTGATGGTACGCCGGCACGTGCCCCAGGGTCTTCTTGGATAAAGTTTTGTCCCAGTAAGGCTCTGTTGGCCCCAGTGCTTTATGACGTTTTTAGCTTATGAGCCCGTAAACTCTATAAAAAAGAATTTGCTGGCCATGGCTTCCCCCGAAAGAATACGAGGTAATGGACCTTGGCTCCAACTTTCGATGGCCAAACGTCACCAAGGGGATAGCATTCCTGAGAACACGCATGTATTAAAAAGAAAAAGAAAAAGAAATTGGTTTTTAACGAGACCACCTCCTTCAAACATTTAGTGAGTGCATTTAGTTTCCTTGAATAAATTCAAGTACTTAACCTTGGCACCGCGATAAGGTAGCACATCCTTACCAAGGGCTTGCCGTCGTAAAACTTCAAATGGTACGACCCCTTATCGGGCCGCAGCCGCGGCGCATACAGAGGCAACGCGATGCGGGAAGCATTTGTTTAAAGAACTAGGGCGTCTCATTTCTATCGAGGAACTCTGCTCTCCTTCAAAAATGTCTCAGGCAATGCCCCATAACAAAAAAAAAGATGGGCTCAGACCAGCTGTTCTCGTTCCTTTGGATTTTCGATTTTGTTCCCATAATGTAGATTCATCTCTTTTTGAATTAATCTTTCTTAGGAATTATCGTTCCCTTCTGCCTTTTCTTTCTTCCTGCAAATATGGATTTTTTTTCCATGTTTAGAATTTGTGATGTTTTCTTTTGGCTTAGATCGCCCCTGGTAATCTATTCGGTGTGACATTTCCAATTTCTCTTCGTTTGTACAAAATTCGCAGTTCTTGAGTGGAAAACTCAGTCTCCACGGTTTTTCTTTTTCAGCGCGTAGCATGGGGTATATGTGTAATCGCCACAAGGGTTATGAATCCTCAGAGGCGCTAATGCTAAGGCAGTTGTTCATGTGGTAGAAAACATTGTATTATTCTAAAGGATGGATGGCCGCTTTCCAGAAACATCTTCGTGAGAAAATATAATTGCATCTCCTTTGAACTCCACGACTGCCTCCCCAAAAATAGTCTGCAGTCGCGCTTCGGTGCTGCAGCTATTGCCTTGCTTTTTTCGAAAACCTTCTAGCTTTCTTTTCTTCAGCAAGCATTATAGTGGATAATAACGTTTTGAGGGATACAAATAGAAACATTTCTTATTAGAAAAATCGTTTTTTCTTTCTTTTAATCCATCCCCAAAAAGATATCTTCTCTTTATAAAAAAATGGGCCAGAAAAAGAAATATAAATTACAAAGTGTCTACGACTGTTTCTTCAGAAGCAAGTTTACCACCCTTAAAGAAAGGAAACAGAAAAAAAGAATAAAGTAGGCCTTTCAATTCTGTATACTTTTGGATTTTGTTTTTACTTCGTTTCGCCATACCTTTCGGTGTTCTAATGAGGCTGGCGGGTTGAACGGCCCATGCGCGCAAACGCGGCTCCCAATGTAAAAGGCGTTCCGAAAGATTCCCCGAGCAAGAGTTGTATTTGGAACCATTTTAGCAATCCAACTTACCCCAGAGACTGCATGCTGAATACACGTTGGAAACTCTTATGTTGGTGCTTGATTGTTTGGGTGATCTCTCTTCCATCAATTTTGAAGTATCGCTTTGACCCCTTCAATGGCTCAGGCGCCTAACTATGGCAACGCGGCGTGGTAGAAGATAAACGCCGCTAATAGGATAGTGAAAAAGGCGATGTCTTTTGGTACAGCGATATTTTTTCCACACCAACCACGGAACGAAAAGCCCCGCCGGTTCGCTTTAACAGCGCTTGGCGCTGGTGCGGGAAGCCGCCCACACGCGCGCCGCGAGGCAAAAGATCCCGCCGGCGAGGGGAAAGAAAATTTTTTTTCACGACCCAAAAGCCACAGCCCACACCCTCTTTTTTATCCTTTGCAAACAATTCCAGTTTTCCAAAGAAACAGCCCGTCCCGGGCGGGAGTGCCAGTCTCACGGCCCAGCTTGTGGGAGAAGGACTGGGGGTGGCGGCCGCCAAGCGCTTGTCAGAAGAGGTGCGGGGAGGGGGGCGTTTGGCTCACACAGGCCGAAGGCCGGGCGAACAGAAAGCCCCCGAGATTCCTGGCGCGCGGTTGCCGGAAAGGGGAAGGGGGAACGGCAGGAGTCAAACTTTAAAAACGCAATGGCTGCTCGGGTGTTGGGTGGGGTGGGGGTGCTTCAATCTCTGCCACGTTTTAGGGCGATTCCATCGAGGCGTCCTGAACTTCAAACGGCGAAAAAGGTGGGGCAGAAGTAGAAATCCAGGCGAAAATTCAAACCTTGATCAAGGAAGGCTTTTTTTTTCTTTTTTTTTTTGGTAGCTTAAACGTTCCAAACTTTACACCAATTTTGGAAAGCATGGTTGGGCCTGCTTCTTCCAAAAGCTGTGCCGGCCACTTTTGCGCAATCGCCCTCGCTAAAAATAGTTCCTAAGCCAATTCCCTGCCACCACAAAGGGCGATAGCAGGTTAGGCAAATTTTCCGTCATATCAGCAGTTTTTGTAGTTTTACCATTCGTTATTTAGGGATTCTAAAGGGAAACGGTCCGAGAAATAGCGACTTGGCCTTGGGCCCTCGCCACAGCGTGGTGGCCACAGAAAACCCTGACATCTAGTTCTAGTTTTAGTTCTGTCCGTATCCCGAAATCGATATCAAAGCGACACTAGTTTCCCAAGCAGTAAGGCGCCAACCCGTGGGATCTAACTTCCCACGGAAAGCGAAAAAAAGAAAAAAAGAACCGCCTTTCTTGCAACCCCAGCCATGCTGCCTAGACGCATCGGTTTCCAAAAAAGAAGAGGTAGTTTTGATAGTCTCCTTGGCCCCAATGATGCTTCTGTTTTTTAATGGCCCGAAGCGGGGCGTTTCAATAGCTTTCTGCCTATGAAGAAACTTCACCAACGCATTGCGGGAAGTATATCTCTAGCCCTCTCTTTTCTTTAGTGGACAATGTGCAAACCTACTAGGATGCCTCCGCCCGCCAGGCGATCTTTCAGCCCAACAGATCCAAGATGGAATTGGCACTCTGCGAATAAAGTCTATTTGCAACCCTACTGCATGCCCTCAGATCCTTATTAACAATTTGCCCAAACCAAGATGAAATCCGGAACCATAAAGCAGCACCTTTCCACCTTCTAAGCTGCCTCGCCATTTTCCATTGCACAAACGGCGCGCCATTCCATTAGCGCAAAAACGTTGTAAAACAAAAAGAAAATGCTTCGGAAGTCGTTAGCTATGTGATGTATTGCGGAATTCTTCCAATCGCATCAAATTTTTTTTGGTTACAGTTTCGAGCGGCCTCTCGGTCAGGCCAAGACTTTCCAGCGCACCAACGGGGCGATATACTTTACCAAGCTGTTCGGCGATAAAAATTCTAAAATTGTGGATCCCCAACCTCTGATGAGAGCTAAAAAGCAAAAAAAGGGCATATTTAAACCAATCGGCAATTAAAAGGATATTAATTATTGAAATCGGCCTGGGCCCTCTATAGGGGTGGCTTCCTGCAGCGCGGCCTTTCCAAAGCGAAGAATACTCGCGAGGAATTGTAAAAATAAAAAGAACGGCCAATATAGGAAAGAATAAGATAATAAGTACCCAATAATAAGAAAGAATGATCTTTACCCTAACCTTGGAAGTTGTGAATGCACGCTGCGGCCTCTATCGGCGCCTTGGGGTTTGGTGGCCCTACAAGCGGGAACCTGGGGATTATCTTCTGCCTAGCCGAGCTGCCGGTGTTAAGTGCGTGCGCTTGTTCGGGGGGCCGAAAGAAATTAATATATTTGATTATAGACGGACCCCCCAAATAACCAAGCCCCAGAAGAATAGTTCTGAGATATGTATTCTGGGTTTTGCTTCTATGGAAACTTGGATGGGCATAAGGGGTCCAATATGGGTCTGTAAAAGATGGAAAAATAAAGGTAGAAATTATATACCGCTACGCCCATCTGGGGTTAGCGCCATTTTCAGTTCATCGTTGCGGACGTTTCCATGGCGGAAATGTTGTATTTCTCGAGTTGCTGTGAATTCAAGCTTTGGATGACTGAAGGTGTCCGAGGGAAATTCGCCAAAGAAACCCGTTCTTGATGATGCGATTTTGTGGGAGGATGGGTTGGGTTAAACTCTTTAAAATACAGAATAATCTATGCCTTGCTCCCCACCTTTTAAAATAAAAGAGGCAGAAGAAACAAGGAGTAAAATACTACTTTATCATTTTGAACCCTGCGCCGCCCCACAGTTCAAAAATACATCCTAAAACTTTTCTCACAACGCTTGCCCTCTAGATTAATAACAGAACTCACGAAATGGAAGTGCTGGAGGGCCCTTTTGACACACCCCCCGCTTTGGGCTCTGAGGGTGGGGGATGGGTGCGTTTTTCAGAAACCCACTTTTGACTGGCTGTTGGGGTTAAAAAGAATAAAAATAATTCCAATGCCAAATAACTTACCCTTATCGGTTGGTTGTTGGCGCAGGGGGTGGTCATTCTTCCCGCGAGCTGCCAATAAAAAAAAAACTGACGTGACAGGAGAAATGCGTTTATTTTCTTCTGTTCCGCCATCGGCCCTTCTGTTGCGATTAAGTTTCCGATGTTGGCCAACCGCAATTGTGCCCTTTGTTAGGTCCCTCTTTTTGGCGGCCCCTCGCCTTCTGCTTGTCTCTGTGCGGGCGGGCGCGCTCCTTTTTTCTTTTTTTTTTCGTTGTTGCCCCCCTGTTCTGTGGGCCGGGGCTTTTTGTGCGGCGATACGGTTTGGATTTTCGTTTTTGGGTTGTCCTTGGGTTTGGGGTGGTTGGGGGGCGAGATTCTCAATCGGGAAATTGCCCGAAACGTTTGGCCGCTGTTTCTTGCCAAAGTTGGCCGCCACGATCGCCCATCTTCAGGGTATGGGTTTTCTCGCCTCGGCCCGCGTCGGCGGTCGCGGGTGATGCCTTTCTGCGCTTCGTGTTTCGCCGAAAAGAAGGTTGGCTGAAAAAAAAAAAGAAAAAGATATCTTGGATCCCCTCAAAAAGTGAAAAAAGCCATTGTGGCAAAACGCGCGCAAGGTCGTCCGAATGCTCCTTTTTTTCCCTCGTAGTGTGGCCGACGGCTTGGGGGAGAGGGGCCCCTCGTGTGTCAAAAGGGTTCTCCGGGATGGGAAATCAGGTGTTCCCCGTTTCTTCCCTTTGAGGCCGGGCGGGCCGCAAAACTCTCCAACGGCTGGAAATCAAGGGTTTTGGCGTTTTTTTCCCCCCCACCCCCCCACCAGTCCCACCGTCTGCCTTCTCAAGAAAAAAAAAAAAAAAATAACGCCCCGTTTCGTAGCGAGCCCCGCTCCGCACGACCGCGCTTGCGAGGGCGCCGAGGTTCCTTCCGCCGCCTCCCGGCCCGCCGGAAATGCCACGAAGGAGCGGGGGGGCTCCGGCGGGAATTCGGGTCTTGACCGCCCGAAAAAAAAAAGAGAAAACGGGGCGGTGTTTGCGTTTTTTTTTTTTCTCTCGTTGTTGATGGGGATTCTCCTGGCGTCAACAAACCTTCTAAAGTTGGGTGGGCGGGCGTTTGCTGGGTCAATCCGTTTTGATTGTGTTTCGGTCATTTCCTGGGTTTTTATTTTTTGTACCATGTCTTCACTCTCATGGCTTTGGGTTGTCGTTTCTTTTTTTTTTTTCTTAAGCCATTTTGGAGATCTTCTGGCATACTTTGTTTTTCTATTCTCTTCTCTCCTTTTTACTCTTTGTTGGATCGATCATGCTTTCTTTTCCACCTATTTTTGGTTTTTGTTTTTTATTCATTTATTGGTGGATGCAAGACGTCGTCCACTTTTCTTTCACTTCTTGTTACCTTTTTCCTATTGGTGTTCTGGGAGGCGAAATTAGTACATCACAACTGGTTTGTTTTTTCTTTTTTTTGAGGTGTACGGTCAAATAAATGTTGACAGTAATAATGGTAAAAGTTCCAATTTGAATAACAACAGCAATAATAATAATAATAATAATAATAATAATAATAATAATAATAATAATAATAATAATAATAATAATAGTAATACTAATGGTATTAATATTACTAACAATAGTACAAATAATATTAATAATAAGAATAGTAATAATAATAATAATAATAATAATAATAATAATAATAATAATATTAATAATAATAATTGTATTAATGCTAATAATAATAACAATACTAATAACTAACAATAATAATATTTAATATACTCGACAGACATGTATTTGTGTCTTTTTTTGCCTTTCCTGAGTTTTGGTTTCGCTCTTCGTTTTTTTTTTTCTGACACTTAAAATACACATTGGATGGTTTCTCTTGTATATCAGGATCTATTTGTTATTTACAATCAACAATGTTTTCTAAAGTGGCTTGTGTAACTGGTGCGAACAAAGGCATCGGGTTTGAGATCACCAAAAAACTGGCAAGGGATGGTTTTGCTGTAATTATGGCTTGTCGGGATTTAAAAGCTGCCAAAGAGGCAGAATCAAAAATTAAAACAGCTGTGAGCAATGCTCATATTGAACATGTTTGTCTGGATCTTGCTGTTCCAGAAAGTGCCAGTAAAGCTGCCGTAGAGGTAAAAAAACTTTTTCCCGAAGGTATTGATGTACTAATCAATAATGCTGGATTCGCATATCATTGCGATTCCCCAGAACCGTTTCACAATCAGGCCGTTCAAACAATAAAAATTAACTATTATGGAACCGTTGCTGTTTGTGAAGCAATAATGCCATTAATAAAAGATGGAGGAAGACTGGTTAACATTTCTTCTATGTCTGGAAGTTTGACGATTTTATCTAAGAAGGAATTGATTGCCAAATGGAAAGGTTGTAATTCAAAGGAATCTATAGAATCCCTTTTGCATGAGTTTATTGAATTAACAAAAGTAAATGGCAAACATCTTACTGCAGGTTGGCCTGATTCTGCATATGGCGTAAGTAAACTTGCGGTGACAACCTATACTCGGGTTATAGGTCATTCAACACCTCGTATTCATATTTTCTCTTGCTGCCCTGGACATTGTCAAACCACTATGTCAACCTTTACAGGTAGCAAGACTGCTGAGCAAGGAGCTGACACACCTGTATGGCTTGCTACCTCAGAGGAAGCTCTACTTAAAATTCCCCAGGGAGGGTTTGCAACTGAGCGACGTCACGCACCCGAGTAGAATGATGTGGGTTGGGATTTTCTTTTACTTTTTCCTTGTTTTATCATGGCTGGATTTTTTATTTTAGTTTTTTTTTATTGGGTTGTTCACCGAAAATTTGGTTTCGTTGGCACCTTCTTTTTTTTTTTTTCTTTTTGGTGACGTTACTAATACCAATCATTTACTTCCCCCTTCTTTTCCTCCAGACTTGAGCAATATTAGACCATAGTTTGGTTTTGGCATCATAACATGGTGACTTCAAAATCAAAGAAATTGGAGCCAAATATTTGCTGGCGTTGTGGTGTTTTGCTCAATAGTCGAACAACTCAAAGTGCGATTCAGTGTAAAGTATGCAATCGATCTTTTCATCGAAAATGCTATTTAACGGATACAGGTATTGGAAAAGATGATGTACAATCTTGTGTTTGCTGTTTATGTGGGGTTCTACGATTACCTTATCCCCCACGTATTCAAGAAAATTCATTAGCGGTGAAATTTCTTCGAGATGGATATTGTGTCATCTCTTTATCTAACAATCCTAAAGAAAAAAAGATTCTGTTAGAAACTCTTGAAAAATTTCGAGTTAATGCAGAACGATATTTTAATGCTTTTATGCGTTCTTACGAAAATGAATTGGAATTTTCTACCAAAGTACCTAGTCTTGAGAGTGGATTTTCCAATTTCAGAGAGCGTGGTAAAGGTAGGTTTGAACTTATTTCTTCTGAAATTGAAAAAGAGGTACAAAGTTTACTAAAAAAGTCTAAACTTTTGTGGAATACACTTGATCTTTTATTGACTCCTGCATCCAGAAGGGTCCGAGAAGCCAAAAAGGTTATGTCAGCAGGTTGTTTTTATTCACTTCCTGGAAGTTCTCTGCAAAATCTTCATACAGATGGACCTTCTTTAAGTTCAGTAAAAGATTTGTATCCGTATGCAGTAAACGTATTTATTCCTCTCGTACCTTTTGATAAAACCAATGGTACCGAGTTTTTTCCAGGTTCACATCGTATTGAATGGCAATCCATAGATCCCCAAAAACGTAAATCGAAGATACCTACTATTCCTCTTGGAATGGCGCTATTGTTTGATTATAGAGTCTTACATCGCGGTTTGAGGAACCAACGGGGTTCACCCCGTCCTTGTTATTATACAACTGTAGTCAGATCATGGTATAAAGATAAATTTAACTTTAGCTTGGCTAGGTACAGAACGACATTAAATGTGCCTTCATATCTCTTGGAGAACCGAAAGGGTGAAAGTATGAGAAAAAAACGTAAAACGGAGTAGTTTTTTTTTTAATTTTTTTTTTGTTTGTGCCTTCTTGGGAAAACATGACTTGAATGATTTGGTTCTCTGGAGAAGTGAAAATAAAAAAAAAATTATTACTCTCTGTTAATGTTTCGTCTTTTTCTGTGGGGTAGTGAAAAATTTTTTTTTTTGTCCCTTTCTCTCTACCCAAAGAAACAAATAGAACAAAAAAGGAAACAAAAAAACCAAAATAAGAAAAAAAAAAAACGAACTAAAACCAACCGATTTAACAATGGGTCTTCTTACTCTTTTGAGAAAACTGAAGCGAAACGACAAAGAGCCACGAATTCTTATTCTTGGTTTGGACAATGCAGGGAAAACATCTATTCTTCGAAAATTGTCAGACGAGGATCCAACTACAACCCAGGCTACACAGGGCTTCAATATTAAGTCTATCAACTGTGAGGGCTTCAAACTTAATATGTGGGATATTGGTGGTCAAAAGGCAATTCGTGCATACTGGCCTAACTATTTTGATGAAGTTGACTGTCTGATATACGTTGTGGATTCTGCAGACAAGCGACGTCTGGATGAGACAGCAGCAGAACTTGAAACTTTACTGCAAGAAGAAAAGTTAAGAGAGGCCCCTTTTCTTGTCTTTGCCAACAAATGTGATCTTGCAACCGCATTGTCTCCTGAAGATGTCAGTACTGCTTTGAACTTGCAAAGTCTGCGTGACCGTACTTGGTCTATTCAAAAGTGCAGCGCGAAGACGGGAGAGGGTCTTAATGAAGGACTTGAGTGGGCCGTAAAAAATTTGAAAAAATAGTTAGAAGTTGACTTCAACTCTGTTCTTGTGAAGTGTAGAAAGAAAAGAAAGAAAGAAAGAAAGAAAGAGAAAGTGCGTAGCTTTTCCATTTATTCAATATCAGTACTTTTTTTTTTTCTTCTTGACCATCCCCACGTTATATCTCTTTAGCAATGTAGTCATCTTTTAAATTTGGGTGACCTTGTGTTCGATTGTTTTTTTTTTTCTTTATTATTATTATTATTATTATTATTATTATTATTATTATTATTATTATTTCTATTATTATTTCCTTTTTAAGTTATATATAAGTTAATTACAATGTTTCGTGTTGGTTCGATTTGTCGTGCTGCCCTTGCGTCTCATCGACCGGTGTTATCTGCATCTATTTCAACCCGGGGTGTCGTGAAACGTATTTTGGGCGATCGAAGTAATCGTGTTCCGAATGTTAGTGCGATGGATTCTGTCATAACAAAAACCAAGGGTCAAGGGTTGCCTGGATTGGCAAGTCTTGTTGGAAGAGCTGCTTTTTTCGTAAAATGCAAAAATGCAGAGGCCGCAATTGCTGAAATCGATAAGGTTTTACCTCAGATACAAGACGAAGATTTAAAGAGACTCGCTCTTGGAGTTCGTCTCCGAGCGAGGAATGATTTATTGGATTTGAAAGAAGCGGCTTTACGAGTGGAAGGAGGTTCAACAGAGTTAGAGGTTTCTACAATTCGAAGCGCCTTGCGTGAGGATTATAAAGCATTGAAATCAGCTTCCCCTGGGTGCTGGTTAGTAGAGATGGCAGTAGCTGAGTATTGTCTCTACGAAGGGAAACTGGAAGAAGCCTACGATGCCTTTCGTGATGTAGAAGGTAAGATAGGCAAATTCATTGAATCTTTGAAGAAAACTACATCCTTCTCTGAAGTGGCTTCTCTTGAGAACACTGATCCATCATTACTACTGGCTTTTCACTTAAACCGTATGCATGATACTGAGGGAGTAAAAGTTTCTGCTTCTAAGATTGTGGATGAAGCTATAAAAAGTATTATGAATGATGAATCAGTAAAAATTTCTCTTGAAGCATTTAAGAAGGAGCTTGGTATGAATCTTACAGATGAAGAGGCTTATGAATTAGCCTATATTATGGAGGCAGCAAAAATTCGTCACCACTTTCATGACTATTTTCCTTTGGATGGAGAATATAATGATTGGAATTCTGAAAGTGCAAGCAAAGCTAAAGAGAAGATTATTCACGCATATGCACCTCAATCTGCACTTCTTGAAGATAAAATCCTTGAAAAGGTAAAAAATTCAGTACCTCCTCAACCGTTTTATGCACCTGAGGATCAGCTTCGTAAGTTTCTCTCGTCTACTACTGGTAGTAAAAATTACCTTGCTGAACTCAAAGCTACATTTGGTTCTGGTCCAGAGAGCGTTCTTGCGAAAAGTGATGAGTCTTATTTTGATGCTATGAAAACATTGGAGAATGCCCAGGTTTCTGCTAATGTAGCTGGAAGCTCTTTATATCCTTTGGAACAAAGAGAAATATGCCAGAAATTGGCTCGACAGTTGTTATATCGAACTCAGGTTAATATTGCTGTTGTATTAACACAGCTAGATCGCCTACAAGAAGCAATACAGATTTTGGATAAGGTTATCAATGAAGATGAATATATTTACATGTGGCGTGCATACCTTGCAAGAGGAGAGGCCAACAAACGATTAGGAGTCATTAGTAAAGCTGACAAGGATTTTCGTCAATTGTCTAAGCTTAAGAAGAGTATCTGTCATAACGCCTAGGTAACCAAATATATGTTTTTTTTTTTTTTTTTGAAAGTATTGCGGACAACTTTTGCGGGAAAAGGTATGGAAAGAGTAGTGTACTTCTTACTTTGGGTTATAAGGAGAGAATATATTTATTTATTTATTTTTCTTTTTTGAGAAACTACTGGTTGGATACCTGGGTGAAATTATAGGAAAAGTGTCACGCCAACATGGGTACGCAGTGGATTCCGACAATAATTGAGAGTAGAGTTTGAAGAAAAAGTCCGTGACAGAATTATTGACTAAACATGTTTTCTTGTTAATATTTCATGTATATCTGTTTACTTAGGTATTTATAAGTGTATTACATTTGATGTCTAATAATCTTTCTTTCCTTTTTGTTTTTCTTTTAATTTTCCTTAATATTATGTTTGGGTATTTTTGAAAAATTTACATGATAAGTCATGTTTGAGAGCCTTGTACGTTTTCTTGGATTCGGAAGAAAATGGCCCACTTTCACTCTTGACGAGGTCCGTGAACATAATGATAGTTCTTCGCTCTGGATAGTTGCGGGAAATTCTGTTTATGATGTCACCTCTATTATGAATTCACATCCCGGAGGAGCCAATGCGCTCCTACGTCGCGGTGGTGGTGTGAAAGATTGTACTGAGGACTATTACTACCATAGCTGTGCTACGCGACGTACATGGGAATTGTATAAGATTGGTGAATTGGCCCCTGGTGAGTCTAGAAGATTGAAAAGTGGTGAGGTTTCCTGGACAACAACTTCAACAGAAGCAGAAGAAGATGAGAATGGGGATAGGGAGGCAAAAAGATCCGCGCGGGATGTTTCACCTGTGAGCCATGCCTGTGAGATGGGAAATTGCGATGTCACTGGTGATTGCTGCCTCACTAGTACTGTAGAAACCCACGGGAGTACTTCAGAGCCAGTTCCAGGACATCGTTGTCTTGAGTGTCTTCACCGTCAGCCAATGCGGCGAGCGGTTCCTCCGCTGCCTTTGTAGGACTTGAATATCTTACTTTTCTCATGACTGTTAGTGTGACCTCGGTGACACTTTAGTAAATTAAAAAAAAAAAAAGAGAATGACTTTCCCCTCCCCAATTATCAAAAAAGAGAAAAAAAAAGTAATTTTTCTTTGTTTTTTTTTTTTACAACTTTTTGTTCTCATCAGCCAATCAACTCCACCCTGGAATATCAAAGCTTTTGAGAAATATATACACTAAGTTCGTAACAAGAAAACAACAACAACAACAACAACAAACGAACATGATACCGAGAATGTATACATTCTGTGCATTAGCTGTGTGTATTCCCACTATATTATTATTATGATAAGAATAATAGTAATAATAATAATTATTGTTATTATTGTTATTGTTATTATTATTATTATTATTATTATTTAAATAAACTCGCTGGAAATCAATACAGTTCTTCTAGCTCTATGCAAATCTTCTTTTTTTCTAGTTCTTGGTATCGTTTTTACTGCTTTTTCTTTTTCTTCATATTGCTTATTTATTCTCTCTAGGTATTCTTTAACTAACTGAGAAAGAAAGGCCTTTCAAATTATTTTTCTCCTAACTTCTCTGCTAAATATTGTAGAAGGGATAGGTAATAAAATGGGAGAATATTTACAACTTAATGTGTGTGAATTAGGCCGTGAAGCCAAACGAAACTGTACTGATGTATGGGCTTTCGTTTTGTACTCCATCTTCTTTTTTGGCATGATAGTCTTTACCGTGTTTGCTTCGCGGACCGGCCGGCCTGAGGCTTTACTACACGGTGTAGATTACAACGGACACATTTGTGGAAACTTTCCATCCCCGAGCCACCTCACTGTTTCCCAGGATGAATGGAAAACGATGCGATTTTTGTGGTATCCATTTATCTTTAACTCTTCGACAAACACCTTTACAGATGCAATTCACACCGGGATTTGTGTTAAAGAATGTCCCTTTGTGGGTGATTATGTTTGGACGTATGGAGGCTCCATTACTACTTTTACTACATTTAAAGCTATTTACAGTTCATCTGTGCAGTTGTGGCGGTGTATCCCAGATATCAATACACTTGAATGTGAGAATAATACAAATTGTGACTCCCGTAAACAAATGGTAAAAAGTCTAATTTCTGATATTCTGCAATCTAATAATTTTTTATTTGGATTGCTAAGAAGTTTGATCGATCAATGGTTTATACACCTCACCATGTTTATCTTTAGTATTATCATGTCGTTTCTATGGGCATACTCTATGGAACACATGGTAGAACCCCTTATGGTGATTGTATCTGTATTATTCTCATTGTTAACTGTAGTATTTGGTTTTTTTGCATTATGTCAGTTTAATTGGAGCTCAGGTAGTTTTCGTTACGTGTGGCTATCTTTGAGTATATTGTTATTTACTTTCTCAGTTGTATACACTACTATACTAATTTATTTGCGCAAGAAGATTATTTTGTCGTGCTTGATTATTGAGGAGACAAATAAAGTAGTGATGGCTATACCATCCATGATGTTCGTTCCATTCCTGAACTCCCTTTTCCAAGGCGCAATGTGGATATTTTTTCTATTTGCTACAGTCATGCTGTATTCCCATGTAAATATGACTGACGAGAGAGTTTATGGGGATACGGGAATTTTAAATGTGACCATAATGCAGAACTCTAACCCATGTTCATATGTAGGTCATTTGATCATTTTCTTTCTTTGTCTTTGCTCATTGGAAATTATTCAAGCCACTGGAACTCTTGTTGTTGCTTTAACAGTTAACCAATGGTACTGGTCAAAACCTGATGGTGTTAGAACAGTCCCTTTTGATGCTTTGCTATGGTCTATATACGTAAGTATAAGATATCATTTAGGGACAGTAATATTGGGTTCTCTTCTTATGACTCCTGTGGCGCTTGGCAGGTTGGTTTTTTGCACTTCAAGTAAACGACAATATGATTGTTTATGTAGTGAAAATAATTTATGTTTTAGTTGTTACGCCCACCCATTTTTTCTCCGGATTGAAGCAGTTGTGCGCTTTTTCTCTGATAATGCGTATGTAGTTACTGCCATTACTGGTGAGCCACTCTTTTCTGCCACACGACAAGCCACACGATTAATGCAGCGCAATACTTCAGTCTCCTCCATAACTTTTCCAGTTAAATTTTTTTTTCTGGCTGTCAAAGCAGTCATAATACTTTCTTCAACGTTGCTGGGTGTGATGTGGTTGCTTTTAACAGTGGAGAATATAGAAGGATCGCAGACTACTATAATTGTCACCGCTGTGTTTATAGCTTTGGTTTCGTACTTTATCATCTCTCTCTTTGTTGATTTATTTGTTGCGAGTATGGATACTATTCTTCTTTGTTTCTGTTACGATCAGATGGCAAATGATGGGATAGATTTACCTTTCTTTAGTTGGAACACCTTGAGGGAACTTATAGTAGCTTTATCATCAACACCCCCCAACCGATGGACGATTGGGGAGTATCTCATACAAAATGACGGTTGCGTTACCACTCTGAGATAAACTGACTGCTTTCATACACAGGAACGAATTTATTCGCTATTTTTAAGTTCAATTTTTCTTATTATATATCTTTCCCCACCCACTAATAACGGCAAATTCGCACATTAGATGACGTGCATTGGACGAACGTTTCGTTGTCGTGTATTTCCCTTCTTGGAGTATTGACATTCAAGGTAACTATGTAAACTAGTTCTTCTGCAAGTTCCATTATTCGTTTCTTTTTTTTTTTTTTAGTCTTTGCCTTGTTTTATTCTTTGGTGTTCGTTTTGAGAGTTTTTTTTTCACTGACTTGTCAAAAGAGACTATGTACCTTGCTCTCTAATGGATGTGCTTCGTTCTTCTATTATTTGATGTTGTTGTATGTGTAAGATGTATTCTCTTTTTTTTTTTTTTTCATATTTTTATTTTTCTTTCTCTGGTATTATTCTCGGTATTTGTATAGGTCCCTACGACATAATTTGTGCTAAGTTTTTTTTTTTCCTTGTTTGCATTCCAATATATTGATCATGACAGTGTTCTGTGGAACTGCTTTTCATACTCCGAGTCGGCACGAACTGGAGGTGCTTCGGGATATTCTGATGGTTGTCAATGATGCTGATGGAACTATTAAGCGTATTGTGCATTCATCAGAAAGTGATTACAAGAACATACGGGAAGAAGCTACTTCAACAGGAAAGCTCATAACACTCGGTCCAGGACAGTTTTTAATTCCCGGACTAGTTGATTTACACATTCACGCTCCACAATGGCCTCAGCTTGGCAAAGCCCTTCACCTCCCACTAAATGCTTGGTTACAGGAAAAAACGTTTCCACTAGAGGCGAAATATAAAGACGTAAATTTTGCAAAAAAAGTGTATACCTCTTTGGTGGAAACATTATTGGCGAATGGTACTACCACTGCTGTTTACTTTGCCACAATTCATTTGGAGTCCAGTCTAGAGCTGGCTAAAATATGTTTACAGAAAGGTCAGCGAGCAGTGGTTGGTCGTGTGGCAATGGATATTCCTGAACATTGTCCAGATTTTTACCGTGATGACAGTGCAACTGATTCTGTGAATAATAGTGCTGCTTTCATTGAAGCTGTAAAAGCATTAAAGGGTAATGAAAATGGTTTTGTGCTTCCATCTGTGATTCCCCGTTTTGTTCCTACGTGTAGTACAGAGGCTCTTCGTGGACTTGGTGAACTTGCAAAGCGGTATGATTGTCATGTCCAGACTCATTGTTCAGAGTCAGATTGGGAACACAATCATGTGATTGATCGTTTCAACAAACATGATGCATTTGTATTGGATGAAATGGGTCTTATGACGAGACGCACTGTTTTGGCACATTGTAATTTTCTTTCTACAGAAGACATGGAACTCATCCAAAGTCGAGGTAGTGCTATAGCTCATTGTCCATTGTCAAATTTCTATTTTTCCAATGCTGTCTTTCCATTAAAGAAGGCACTTGATAAAAATCTTCACGTTGGATTGGGTACAGATATTTCTGGTGGCCACAGCCCATCGGTGTTGGATACCTGTCGTCACGCTGTTGCCGCTTCCCGCCTACTGGAAGACGGTGTGGACCCGAACAAAAATGCGGAGGAGCGGAGTGACTGGAAAGACTCCCGTGTAAACTTCATTGAAGCGTTTTGGCTCGCAACAACACAGGGTGGGGTATCCCTTGATCTTAACGTTGGCAAATTTGCTCCGGGATACGCTTTTGATTGCTTGGTTGTGGATGTGAATGCACCTGGAAGTAATGTAAGGGTTTTTGATAGCGAAGATTCCTTGGAAGATGTTTTTCAGAAGATTGTGTACAACGCGACAACTGCAAATATTAAGCAAACTTGGGTCAATGGAAAACTGGTACACCAGCTGTGATGTGTGTATGTATGGTGAAGTCGACTAAGGGTTGCCAATGAGTTTTTTTTTTTTTTTCGATTTCGTATTTTCAATTTTTTTTTTTCCTTTCGTTGACGAATTCCCCCTGTGAAAAGAAAAAAAAAAACCCATGCTTAGGAAAAATATATGTACATACCTGCAAATGGTCTGTATGTATTCAATAGTTATGGGTTTATGTGGTTGATTTTTTTTTTTTTTTTTTGTTTCTCTTTGCTTTCAACAGGTACCATAAAAGGCCGTTTTTTTTTTTTTTTTGTTTCCACGTTTTCGGTACGTTTTTTTTTTTTCGGGGTGGAATGGGGTGTGGAGAAGAGTCCCAAGCTGAACGTTTAGAAACAATTTAACTTTTTGCCTTTTTCTCTTCCCGTTCCACTTACTTAATCTTCACTCCCCCACCCACACGTAGGGAGCTGGAGAGGAACGGAGTTTAAAATCTGCCGCTTTGCGAGTCCTGCTGGCTAAATCATTCGGCAGAATCGAAAATATGATTGCTAAATTTTTTTTTGTTTTTCTGTCAGCTTGCGAAAAGAATGATCGAATCTTACGTTATTAGGTAGTAAATCTTGTATGGGAGTTTTGAAATTGTTGAGAATGTGGAAAATTTGTTTTCTTCTTTTTCTTAATAGCCTCTCAAAGTAAGTTTCTGAAAAGCCCACCCAAACCAACCCTCTTCGCCCCGAGCGGGAAGGAGGGCTAAACAGGGATTCTCAGCACTTCCATTTCATCAGTTCTTAGGAGGTTTTAATATGTAATTTTTTTGAAAAATATTAGAGCTTCATTTTTTATAAAAGACGGGGGATCGAATTTGTAGAGGTTGAATCTACAGGATTTCTCTTTTGTTTATGGTAGAAGTAAGGCCAAGATTATTCATTTGCTATATTATATGGATTTGTCGCTTGTATTTGGTTCGAACAACACCATGGAGTATTTTCTCGTTGATCCTTTCTAATTTTTCTCTTTTTTAAACCTGGTCAAGTCAGAAACCATACACTCAAACGTTAGTTGAGATATTTATTGGCATGTCCTGATCAAGCTGTTGATTAATTGGCTGGGGTGACAGAATATACCAATATTCATAGAAAAGAAAGAATTAAATTTTTTCTTTCGTTAATTGTGGTGATAATGGTATTGATTCTTTTCTTTCTGCAGGTTGGTTCTCCTTTGACTTTGCTCTTTTTTACACACACACACACACACACACACACACACACACACACTCACACAAACGGACTTTATTTTTCTTTATTTTTCTCTTTTTCTCTTTTTCTCTCTCTTCCATATATTTATATATGATACGGTTTATCCCTATCATATTTGATTTGAAGTGGTTTCACAGGAAAACACAGTCATGGGTGACCCTAAGCAGACACTCTACATTCGTGGTCTGCCAGACAAAGTATCGACAGAGGAGATGCGCCGGGCTCTGTATTTGTACTGCACGCAGTTCGGCCCGGTGCTTGAGGTATCGTACCGCAAGAGTAGCAATATGTACGGACAGGCCTTTGTTGTTTTCACAGATGTGGCAACCGCAACTAGCGCACGACGCGAACTAAACGAGCGGCAGTTCTACGGACGAGTGTTGCAGGCATTCTACGCCAAACGGCAGTCTTTTAGTGCTGATCCGGGGGAGAGACGTCGACGAGATCTCCGACGGGAACGTGAGTCAGGTGTAAAGAGGCCACGTGAGAGTTAAAGTGATTACAATCACATCTACAATAGTTTAAAGAATCCTATCTCTTGCAAGTAGTTTTTTTTTCTTTTTTTTTTCTTGTTTTGCTTCTCGGGCCTTTGTCTTTTTGTGAAATCGATCTCGTTTTCTTTCTTTTTTTCATTTTCGCAGTATTTACAGCACTGACAAGCAGGTGGATCTTTCATCCCCCTCCTGCATTTGGTTGTTGAAGGATAACTAGAAACAAAAAAAAAAAAAAAGAAACACTCACAACTACACATATAAACAGAGATATTTACTCAACAGGGAAATAATGATGAAATCAAATGTAAAACACGAAGAAAATAAAGATCATTTTGTCAACCGTTTTATGGATGATTTCTGTTCTCTTGTATCACGATTCTTAGTATCATCTCAACGCAGACGGGTAGATTTTGTTCCCGCACCCCCGTCTGTGTCTTCGGTTTCGAAGCCAACTGCAACCGGTGTTGTAGTTTACCCTGAAACAGGATTAGATGCGGTGAATACCATGCTGCAACTAATGGATCAGGCAAAACCCCGCGTAACTGCCGATCAGAATGAAGTGGATTTTGCTACAGAGAGTGCTGTCTTTCTTCTGCGCTTTCGATCGCTTCTAGAGAAACATTTGAATGAAGAGCAAAAAATTCCCCTGGTTCTCCCTACCAAAACGATTAATCTTAATAATAGTAGTAGTAGTAGTAATGACCACTCTGAAAATGAGAATCGCTGCAATAGTGATCGACGGATTAATCCTCACAAGCGTATTTTAAGGCGGATGTATTCATTTCCTAATGAAAGTGTTTCGAGAGATGGGTCTACGAACATTTTTTTTCAGAAAATAGGGGTTGTGGATGCTGAATGCCAGACAGATACATCTGGAATATCAGTTAATTCTCAGCTCAATGGTCTTTCAACATCTGAAGGAAATGCTTCTTTGAAGAGTACATCATGTCTCCGTGTGGCACAAAGTCAATTGATTCTAGTACTTCAGCAGCATACTACTAATAGCATTCTTTCGCTTGACATGTCTGCATTTGAATTAAAAGAAACACCAGCAAAGAAATGGGAATATGAACTTCTTATTCAAACGCGTTATGTAGAAGGTATTCATAAAGAGCTTAAAAAGGAACGGAATAGACTTTACAAGCAACACCATGATGGATTAGGAATGGAAGAGCAGGAATCTCTTCACTATCGTGAGATTGAAGAGGTTATAGGACGTCTTGAAATGGCAGTGGTATCTGTGGATTATGCGCCAATTATAGAGGAATTTCAGGATAGTGACAGAAGGTGGAGTGATACTATTGAACAACGTTCCTCTAGTGGTGTTAGCAACAAGGATGACCTTAATAAAATATTCGGTCACGCAGGTGTGGGCTTTGTATCCAAGTTAGTTGTTCAAAATGTACATTGTTTTCTCACCGTTCTCACCTGTGGTTCTTCTTTTCCGCATCGATGGGTGTACCTTGAGAAGGTCCTCTTTCTAACAGATTCGGTGAGTCCAGTACCCACTGTACCAATGGAGATTGGTGGTGCTCCGTCGCCTCGCTTAAGCGGAACGGGTCTGGATAGATCACCCTCTCGAAATCCATCAGCTAGTCCCGCACTAGAAGAAGAAGAAGAAGAAGAACAAGAAGAAGAAAGAAGTAAATCAAGAAAAAACAGTGTTGCACCAGAACAGAAACGAGATCTACAACTGCGGGAACTTGTTCAGAGGTTCAGTTCATGCCATGCATATGAAGAGGTTCAACGGCATGGTGCTCTACTGGGTGTGAGTGTAGTGTAGTAGTTGAAGTGTGTGTTTCTGTTTAGTAGTGAAGGAAAGTGCAATTCTTTCTTAGGTCTCCACATGGAACACATTCTGCATTACTGTGAGAATGAACTTTCAATGTATTCGTATGCGAGAATGTCAGCCGTTGAATGAAGGAAGAAGCGAAATTGGAATGAAGTCAACAGAAAAAAAAAAAAAAAAATGGGTTGTAAACGGCAGTCTATTGATTGGAATGAAACCCCGAACCCTAGATTTTTCATTATTATTATTTTCATTAATTATTATTATATATATATATTTTTTTTTTTACTTGTCTTTCTTCCCTTGCGTTTATTAGATTCACCTTGGTTTTGTTGACTGTTATTATTGTTATTGTACTATACCCCGTTGATTGGTGTTGAGTCGTTGAATTTCCTGTTTAAACATATTTTTTTTAATAATCTGGTATCAAAGGTTTTGGCAATGAGAACCTCTTTTACTTGTTATATACCTTTCTTTGAAGGATTTTTTTCCCTTCATTATTGTTTTTTTTTGATATATAAATATATTTTTTTTTGTTTCTTTTTCTAATTATTTGTAAATGATTTTTACTTGGTCTTTATTTTTGCACCAGCAAAGCTAACTACTTGCTTTTCAAAGATCACTCATGTCGTCTGAGCTTGCATCAGGGCCTCTTCCGGCAGATATCGAAGAGGTTGTGGCGAACATTGTGAGGGAAAAGGGCGTTGGACTCCTCACATATGGAGATCTTCGTCTTCTTCTTGAAGCCAAGTACCATATTGAGTTTGCATCACACAGGGCTTCTTTAGATGAGATTCTGGGTAAACTATTGCAACTCCCAGAGTTCAGGAAGCAGGTGGAGAAGGCTGAAAGGGAGAAGAGGGAGGCAAGCAAAATTGGTGGTAAGGGAAAGAAGCGCAGTGCGAGTGCCAAACAGGATGAGCAAGAAACCAAAAAGGCCAAAAAGGAGAAGAAACCCGATGACTATCCCAAGGCGGCACTCACAGCATACATTCTCTTTGGAAATGACCATCGTGACAAGGTAAAGGCAGAAAATCCAGATATGAAAAACACTGAAATTATTCAGAAGTTGGGAAAAATGTGGGCAGAGTCCTCAGATGCGGTGAAGTTAAAGTACAAGAACATGGCAGAGGAAGACAAAAAACGTTTTGAACGTGAACTCAGCGAGTACAAGAAGAGCGGTGGTGAGGTGTTCAAACGTGGTGGTGGCAAGGTAAAGACGAAGGATGAAAATGCCCCAAAGAGGTCCATGTCGGCCTATTTCTTTTTCACGAGTGACTTCCGCAAGAAGAACCCCGACCTCAGCGTGACAGAGACTGCAAAGGCGGCAGGCGCTGCATGGAAGGAGCTCTCGGAGGAGATGCGAAAACCATATGAGGCCATGGCCCAGAAGGACAAGGAACGCTATCAAAAAGAGATGGCGGCAAGGTCTAACTGAGAAACAGATGTGAAGATGGAGAGATGATGTTTGTTTGTTTGTTTGCTTATATATGTGTCAGTTCGTGATGTGCAGTAACAAAGAAAGGAGGTGGATTTGAGACTAAAAGGGGAAAAATAAAAGAAGGAAATCAAAGGAGAAAACAAGAACAAGGCAAATTATGCCATTAGAAATGGAATTGAAGAGAAGAAACCTTTTGATTGTCTCCAGATCTTTCCTCCCTCTGTGCTGGATTTCTACTCCTCTGTTTCATGATGCTCTATAGAGTTTTATTTCTTTTCGATTGCAGTGTCTTCAGGTCTTGACACTGAAAGCGGAAAAAAAAAGGAATTGAAAAAAAAAAACACAATAAAAGAAAGAAAAAAAGGAACGAAGATCTAATTCACAGGCACAAATGCGTCTGCCATTATATGCAGCGTTGAAGAAGAAAAATGTGTGCATTCTTTAGAAAACAATGAGAGAAGAAGGAAATGAAAGAAGAGTAAATAGAGAATACTGAGAGGGGAACATGCACTCACACAATATACATACAAGCATGCACACATGTTTATATACAGAAGCTGGGAAAGAAGAGTGTCAGGTAAATAGATATCAGAGAGAGAGAGACTAATATTAAATCCCCCTAAATACAGTACTTGGGTGACCTCTTTGTTTTACTGTTTTTTTTTTTTTTTTTCTGCTTGCTCACCCCGGAGCGCGCACACACAGAATACGCATAAAAAAGTGTTTTGATTCTTCTTCATGATTTCATGGGTTCTGTTTCCGCAGATCTCTGTAGGTTTCCTTCTATTGTTCTCTTGCATTACTTTTTTTTTTTTCGCTCTCCTTTTTTTTTTGGTTTTTGGTTTTTATTTTTTTCTGTGTTTTTTCGTGTATAGAGGACAGGTGCTGAAAAGAGCGTTCTTGTTTAGGCATAACTACAAGAAGAAGAATCATATGCCGAGCTGTGAACGTATTCCTCGACATCAGTTTCATGACCAGGAGTCATGGCTTTATACGGAAAGATCTGTGCGAGATTTAACACGGAGCAAACAATTTCAACGCTACACAAGATATGTAGAATACAATGAATGTCTACAAATGACGTGGTTCATCGCTCCTATTGGTCTAACAATTGCCTTTTATTATCACTTTTTGTTTTTACTCTTAGATACACATGTGGCCCCTGTACAAGGTACCATTCTAAATGCCCCATTCTTTCCACTCGCAACCGCTGTTTTACTTTTATTTTTTGCACCATGTGTGGTGATTGCACCTTTTAGTGGATTTTTTGAGCCTATCTCTCGGCGACAAGCACTAGGACTTGTAGTGCTCTTCACATTTATTAACATTGGTGTGGTCTCTTTTGGGGGCAGTTTTTTTAATCACCCACCGTATCTTGTTACAGAACCTCCTGTACCATGGTTTACAAGTAAGGTAACAGAAGCAACACAATTGATAATGATTGTATTGACGCGTGCTTTACCTCTAGAAGGTGGTATTATTGCGGGATGGTTAGTGTATGAATGGAGACAAATGCGTTGGAAAAGAGCATGGCAAATTCCACTACCACTTATTACAGTTCCTCTTTTCGTTGGTAGTTTTGCATGCTTTTGGTTTCGCTTTGTAACTCTGTTTTCTTCCACTTTTTTTGCATCTAATACGGATTCTGAAGAAAAAGGAGATGTGGTGCGTGTAATAATTTCAGTGATGTCAACCATTTGGCAGGACGTAGTTAGTATTGTCTCTGAGCGTTCATTGCCTACAGTCTTTACAAACACTGAGAGCTGTTATCATTTATGGTGGACAACATTGACGCTTTCCATGCTCTACTTTCTTGGTAATTTTATACCCATCTTCTGTGTCATTTTTAGACCCATCTGCTGGATGTTACCGACACACCCGACAACGTGGAGTCTCATGCTCATTTCATGCTTCGTGGGGCTTGTGACTATTGTGCGGAGTAATGAAGGAAGTATGGCATACGCTATGGCTTTTTTTACAGTCTTGTGCATTTTACTCCACAATGGCTTCGTATTACCGCCGTGATTAAATACAGGTGTGGTGAGTTAATGAAGGAGAATAATGGAATGGTTAAAAAAAAAAAAGAGTCAGTGAAAAAAAAGAAAAAAAAAAAAAAACATAAAGAGAAGAAAAAATGGATAACGAATATTATTTTTTTTTGGAGTGGGAGTGGTAGGCAAATGGCCTGTCGCTTGTCGGGAGAATGGTTCTTCTCTCATTTTATCCTCAACTAAGATTACTGGTATTTGCCTTTTTGTGACTTTTCCCTCCACAGTGCAAGGGTTTTAGTAGCTGACATGCAACGTCCAGAGGATTCGGAAGCCGCAGCACCAGATTGCACTTTCGCCGCTGCGTCATCACTTCCTGCGCCTGAGGCGAAGGAGGTCGTTGCCGTGGGAGAATCCTTCCCTTTGCCTTCTACTGTTGACCATAGTGGTGCCTCCACATCACAGAATGAAGAGGAGTTTAAGCAAGTTGATACTGAGGTACCTGCCACCACCGCTCATGCAGGCGAGGAACACCATTCTCGCGTTGACGAGCACTCTTCTAGTGCTGAGGAGGATGTAGACCCTACGCTGACAGACCAGAGTCTGCAGGGACATCAACTCCAGCAAGAAGGAGCAGAAGAGGATGGTGAAGAAGAAGAGGGTGCAGAAGAAGAAGAAGAAGAAGAGGAAGAGGGTGAAGAGGAAGAGTGTGAAGAGGATGGAGAAGAGGAAGAGTGTGAAGAAGAGGAAGAGGAAGAAGAGGATGGAGAAGAGGAAGAGGAAGAAGATGCAGAGGAAGAAGAAGAAGAGGGTGGGGATGACTATGGATTTGAGCCTCCTGTTGGGGGTAATAAGGGTTCTACTTCAACAAGGGATGTTTTTACTATTCAAGGTAAGAAGTACACATCATCAGCCATTATACATAACGCTGGTTTCATTGCGGCACAGAAGAAATTGCGCGGAAATCCCAAAGCAACGTTCACCATGTGCCCGTTATTAAGGGCACATAATATCATGAAGTGTCGTCAATTGCATTTGACTAACCGTGCAGTGTTGATTGGGGAGTGCTATGTGCGTGTCAACATGTTGGTGGACAACCCAGCGAGGCAGAAACTTCTCACTAGTCCTGCAGCAATGGGTCAGACCGAGTTTTGTAGTGTTGAAAGCCCTACACATGACGCTTCTACATGCTCTGCATTCCATCTACTTCCAGGCATTGTCTTTGTTGGTAGACCTGAACTAAGGGTGGGTTACTTCGAAGGAGAGCTTCATGAGAATGTTGCGTTACGACGACTAAAGGGAGGAGTAGAAACTTGTGGTCGCTGGTGCAAGAATCGCCGTTCTCACGTTGTGGTGACATGTAGCTTTGTTCACTATAACCGAGGAAGTGCATACACGGAGGTGCCACGAGAACCCTCAAAGCCACTTGCCTTAATACCAAACATGCGACCACGAGGACCACATATTGTTTCTGGTGGAGGTGACCGCAGAAACAATAAACCGCATAGCCGTGGTAGAGGCGGTGGTGGACGTGGTGGAGGTAGAAGAGGAGGGGGTGGTAGATTTAATAAAGGTCGCGGTACACAGAACAGAAATTTTAGTACTGGAGGTGTTGCTGGTGGAAGTAGTCAGAAATATAGTTCAACTGCGCCGGTTTCTGAGTATATGGGTAATGACAGTTCCACACCATTTATGGAACCCAACATCCCTATTTCAGAAGAGAAGGTTCATGAACAAAAGGAGCGATTCTTGAACATTATGCTTCTCCTATTGGCTATTATTGTGGGAACACTCGCATACTTGTTGAATGCATAAAGATTTGTAAAATCTAAAATGGAGGATTTTGAACCTTGATATATATATATTTCACGTTTAAATTGTCGATAACGATGATTTTTTTTTATTATTATTCCTGATATGTTTAATGAGGGAAAACAAAAGAGGAAAACAGAAATGAAGAATGCCCACAAAGACTCTGTTTTTTATTTTTCTAGAACTAACTTCTAGGCGATGGAAGGTTGTGGGTAGCTTAGAACCTCCCAGGGTAAATCTTCTGAGTTATTTCAGATTCATCGTAGAGTGGGAATGAGTTATGACCCTTGATTATTCTGTTATTTTCCCGTAATTGTTTATTTTTGAAGTAAAGTTAATAACATCAGAGATATTCCGATTTTTCTTTATTCTGGGCGGTTTTCCTCTAATAAGGCAACGACGCTCTTCTTTCATGCGGAAGAAAATTACTATAAAAAAAGAAAAGGAGGTAATGCTACAGTTTCCTCTGCTAAATTTTTTTTTTTTTTTTTAAATTCTTTCTCTCTTAGCTTTGGTTTTTGTATTGATTGACTTCTATCATTTCTCTCCCTTTTTTTTTTCTGTTGTTGTAGTAGAAGTAGGAGGAAAAAAGGAGAAAGGAAAAAAGAAACAGTGTGTACAGTGACTGTCTACGAACCCCGTATAATAAAAAGAAAAAAAAGCGAAGAAAAAGCGGAAGAAGAGAAGCACAATCTAGTAACAGGTTCTCATGTTCACTGGAGTAATTCATGGGTTCAATTCGCGTCACAGCACTATCTCTATTCTTTCCACCATGGTCGGTTCAACAGTTCTTGCATTAGCAGCATACACATGGTGGAAGAAGCGTTCCGAGGCGGAAGAAGATGATGAAATGTTTGAAATCAAAAATTCCGTCTTATTTGATCCCAATGTCAAATTCCCTGAAAAGTCAGCTATGGATCCCCTGAGTTATACTCCAGGAGTTCTCGACACAGGGGTCGTTTCCACAGAGGAGCGGGACGATGCATTGAACTTGGCGCGTAAGTTGCTGCGTCAGCTGCATGATCCGAGGTATGATGTTGAAGAAAAGGCAGAGGCAGAGGCAGAAGCTGGCTCGGATTCTGAGGAAACGAATGTATCGCTTAATTATCACATAGCAACAGAGTTGGAGAAGGAGGCACGTGACGGTCTAGTAGAAGCTGTGGTGCAAAGCGAAGTGCTGAAACTGGAGGGGCAAGGAAAGATGCTCAAGCCGGAAAACTGCGTGGATGTCTTACATAGAGCAGTAGAGTACCTTGACATCTCAAATGAACGGGAGAAACTTCGACAGCGTCGTGCTGCTATGCACCTTAACGGATCACATGAACAACGCTTTCCGTGGGGTGGTAATGGTAATGATATGGAACGACTTATGGAACAGCGTAAAGCCATTGATGCGGCTTACGCGGAATCTTTTGCTCATGGTGTAGAAATTGATCACCGACTCCGTGAAGCTAATAATAATAATTATGGTATGGAAGAACGTTTTGAGATGAACTGGGAAGGTGATGATGATAATGATGATGATGATGCTGAAGCGGACTTAATGGCGTATCTTGATGAAGATGATCGGGCTGGCTATGGCAGTATGATGGATGCCCGTATGGCGGCAATGCTGGGTATGGATATGCGGTTATTAGGTGCTGACGGTGTCGTGTATGACGGTGACGGCGACTACAATGATGATGTGGAGGAGGAGGAGGAGTATGAGGAGGATGAGATTGATGAAGCGACTGAAAAGGCGGCATTTGAACGTATGCTGCTCGATAAACTTTATCAACTGGCAGAGGGAATGGGAAAAAATGGCATCACAATGAATACCACAAGGAATTCTGGAAAGAATCCACAAAAATTGACTACTACTCTGGAGGAAAACAACATGAGTGAAAATGGGGTGGAGGAGCTACAAGGTGACAATGACAATGATGATGATGAATGGGAAACGGAAAGTGATGATGATAATGTTGTTGCTGAAGGGGAGTAACTACAGAATGTGGTATTGCAGGGAGTCATTATGCTTTGGGTAAAATACATGGGAGAGCAGGATGGGGTACACAGGGTGAGACCCAGGGAAGGCATCCATTTGAATGAAGGGGAATGAGATTGCTAACTCTTGGCGAACAAGTAAGTTAAGAAAAAAGAAAAAAAAAAAAGAAGGATTCCTTCCCTTCAAAAAACACCGAAAGTGAAGGAAATCAGAGGTCCTCATTTCCTTTATCCTCATTTCCTTCTCTTCCTCCAAGTGTATGAAGACAACGTACTGTTACACCATGTTTGTTTTGTTTTCTTTTTTTTTTTTTGCTTCTCGTCTTCGTCTTGACCAAGATGTCATTATCAGTGAATTAAAAACGAAAAAAAAAATACAAAACAACAGCGACAACCTAAATGTCGACTTCTTTTGATGAAACTTCGGGGTTCACTTCAGCTCTTCCTGTTGTACATCCTCTTGATGCTGAGATGAAAAAGCTTGAAGATGCTGCTACTGCTCTTGCTTGTGAATTCGGCACCCTTGTTGCATCTTACAAGGATCACGCAGTTCGGGTGGAGTGTGCAACAATACAAAGTAGTGAGGCCCTTCTGAAGAGCACCGTTTTTCTTGAAGATCAGTTGCGTAGTGCCATAATGTCAGCGAATGGAGTGTTGGATGGAATGGTTGGAATGTCTGCAGCAGTTACAGGTCTGGAGAATCTTCTTGGTGATGTGCGAAAGGTTGCCCAAGATGTGACGCTGGTTGAAAATGCCCTTTTGGTAGCAGAGAAAGAGGCACTGGGTCAGCATGATCTTTCAGAGGAATGAGAGGGATAATAACTACAGATGATCTGTGTGTTGCTTGACAACTGTTAATGTACGGGTAGTATTTACCACCTGTACAAAAAGAAAGAGAGAGAGGGAGTGAGTGCATGTTGAACAGAGAGGAAAATAATAAGGGGATGGTAGAGGTGTACCTTCTCTTGTTTTCTTCCCTTTAGTAATATATACGTTTTTTTTTTTTCTTGTTTCTTTATATTCACTACTTGCATTTTTATTTTTATTTTACTTTTCCTTATAGTGAAACAATAGGGTTTGATTCCTTCAATCTCTATCACATGATAGAACCTCTTCAGGATGCCTATGTCGATTACTTGGGAGGCTTGTTACTCCAGAGCGATATTGACTTGTCCATTGTAAGGGAAACGCTTGCTTTACTGGGATTTGATGAAAATACTATAGGTGATATACTGGGTGAGAATCTTCACAGATGTTCAACCAGTTCTTCCTCATTTTCTTCAGAATCCAATCGACGAAGTTTAAGTCAATCTTTGACGATAGACTCATGTGAACCTGTGTTAACAGAAGAGAGAAAAAAAGAGAGAGGTTCTATGCGGCAGCAACATCAGCAGCAGCGAGAACAACGCATATCACATGAAGTACTTATTGAAGAAGAGTACGAGGAACCACATCCTTGCAGTGTCCCTACTCTCTCTTCATCACCCATAAGTGGAGATACAGAATCGCCATCATGCGAACTACACTCACCATATCACACGTCTAGTTCAGTGAATTCTGAAGAGAAAAGATTACTAGTTTCTTCCAGGGGTTTATGTTGGGAGGCAATCACAACACCTGAACGACGTTCTCGTTACCGTGAACTCCTGCATGCATTGGAGGAACTCCTCGGTGTCGTTTGGGGTCCAATTCCTGGGAATAACAATAGCGTTGATGGAATACCTTTGGAAGTTCGAAGTTTCGTGTGCCGAAACCGACTGCAAAAGATTTTACAAAAAAGAAATAAAATGGAAAATACATTCCCACTCCAACCGAAGCATGAACGGAAGGTGCTACGACCGTCGCTTCCTGTCTTCTCACAGAAAGCATCAAAGGTTCGGGTTCAGGTTCAGAGTCGCAATGGCCACGGGAATGATGATATTATGCATTTAAGGACCCATAAACCTCCCAGGTGTTTCCGGAGCGAAAGGAGAGCGTGCGTCACTGACCACCAACGGCAATGTGAATTGTGTATGAGTCTTGAGTACGGATCCCTCTTTCGTCAGTCTAAAAGACATCCACTGCAACTGCAAGATACACCTGCAGCAGTGGGTAATGCATGTGGTGTAAAGATGCAGCCACGTGCTGTGAATTGTGTGGGAACTGGGCGAATTAATAGAAAGGCTCTTGTAACAACCCTACCACAACGCGAAGATCGTGTTAAAATGGCACTTGCTTACCGTGATGAATGGAACGCTGTCAGTTTCTTAACTGAGCGCGAAAATGTGCCATGGTGGACGAACCGCACTTAAAACTATGGTTTATTTTTGTCACAATATCTGCATTTGTTTATAGAATGTCATCAGAGAGCCGCCTTAATGAGAGAAGTGGCGGGACAGTCATAGAGCTGGTGTTTTTTTTTTTTTTTTTTTTTTTTTTT